AGTTGAGAAATACATAAAAGCAAATTAATTCAGGTTACTTAACCTAAGAAATCTTTACTCTTCGTGCTTTTTCAGTGTACGGAAAGACCTTGGGGACCAGTTAAGCACTTAGCCATGCTCCAGGCCTTGTGTTAAGCATTTTTCCATGTATTGCTCATTTAATTCCCACAACCATCCTTTGAAGGAGACATGACAATAGTTTTACAGTATCAAAGAGCTGTCTACCGGTACAAGTTAAGGCTCGGATAGGTTAATGTCTTACTCAAGGTCACAGAGACATAAAGCACACTTTTAACCAAATCAGACTGTCCATGGCAGAGGCTGACCTTCATTTTTCTCATTTTGCTTTTATCCACTGCACTCATTTGGTTTTGCCTGCTTAAAATGTCTGCTCATTTCTGTAATTTCAAATTGTTCAAGGAACTGAATCCAAAAACACATATCATCAGCACTTTCCAGTGTCTACCTTTGATGGAAGCAGGTATAAATCTCCCAGCAACTTTTCAAAAATGCCATCACAGATCTGGAATGATTTCTGCCTTCTGAGTAGATAGTGTGGTTATCAAGTGCGCACTACATTATGATATAGGGACCACCTAAGCCCTCTAATTCCCAATGATTTCAATAAGTTCACGGAAGCATCCTAGCTGGTGCTTACTGGACTGTGCAAGGACACTTGAGAAAGAAAGGAAAAAAGTAGGTGAGGCTAATGTGAGGAGAGAGTTGCACTGGGCGTGAGTGAGGGTTATACATGACCCTTCACGGAAGGGACAAAGGGGTGAAGTCTAGTATTCATTCACTCGGATCTGGATCCTATGTTATATTCTGACACAGAAGTTGTCAAAGGATCTTCTGAATCAGAAAGACAGTTTTTTGAGTACTAATAAAGAAATCCAGGTTAATATCTAGCTTCATTTTTTTTTTCTTTTTAAATCCCAAGATTATTTGAATGACAGAGTTCAAGGAGGACAGACCAGAATCCCAGGCCTCCTCCTCCTCCTCACAGACTACATGCAATGAGCAGCTGAGTTCCATGGTCCAGTCTATGCTGAAGAAACATTGAGCATTTTTTCTCCATGGTCACTGCTAATGCCATCCTGGTTCAGGCCATCATCACCTCAGTCTGGCTGGTTATACATTTATGAGGTTACTCTGCTTTAGATGTACCCCCTTCCTCCTGCAGGCAGATGATTGCCCTCTGTCATTCCTATATGGAAAGCCCACCAGCAGCTCCTTTGCCCTTGGATCAATTATGAAAATAACAGCCAACAATCACTGGGTGCAGTCTGTGTTGGGTACTGTGCGTCCTGAGTCAATCTTTGCAATGATCCTATGAGGGGAATTTATACCTTTGTGACAATTACTAACAGAAGCTACATTGCTTGACTGAGGTCTCTTAGCTAGAAAGTGGCAGAACTTAAAACCTGGGTCTCTATGACACTACAGTGTACACTGTAACCATCTTGCTAGCCTGTCCACCTTTCTAGTCTCATGGCTCCATGAATCTCTCTTTACTTCTTGAACCACTTGCAAGTCTTAGAACTTGATGTGCTGTTTCATGCCTCTGGGGTTGGTTTGTTTTTGTACACAAACCTCTTTTCCCTAATGCCCTCTTCTCTTTATCTACCTGCTGGAATGTCTCATCCTCCAATATTCAATTCAAGTGTTACCACCACTTTTAACCATTTCCTGACCTCCTTCTTTGGTTGGTAGAATTGACCATTCTTCTCCCTATGATGCTTCCATTAAAGCACTCGCAGTACTTGCTAGCCTTACATGGATGGTACAACTCTCTCTTAGACTTTGAAGAACTCCTTAAATGCTGGGGCTGTGTCTCCCTAATCCATTTTATCCACAGTATCTAACACAGTTCTGGGCACAGAGTTTTACCACAAATATTGTTGAATGAATGAAAGTATTTGTTTGAACATGAAACACATTGCTTGGTTAGAGCATCCCATGCACCAGATTTATATCTTCACTTACAGCATTAATGCAATTGGTACTATGTATCTTTGTCCTTATTAAAGAACCGTCTATGAGGCTTTGAGGAGGTCCTGTAGATTCAGGGTAACTACAAATTTTGACAGGGCTGGGATTGTGGCTTAGTGGTGGAGCGCTTACCTTGCACATATGAGGCACTGGATTTGATCCTCAGCACTACATAAAAATAAATAAAGTATTATGTCCATCTGCAATTAAAAATATATTTTTTTAAAAATTTGACACCCTTCACATTCCCCTGCCAAAGATATTCAAGGGCTGAGAATGTAGCTCAGTGGTAGAATGAGTGCTTTGCATGTCTAATATCCTGGGTTCAATCCCCAGCACTGGGGGAAAAATTGACATCCTCTCAATTAGAATGGAGATAGAGATAGAGGGAAGATGTTACAGTCCACTTGCCACAACTGTTTATCACCTGGGAAGCTATTCAATGATAACACTGATCTGTCACTGACTAAGTCAAGTTTGGCATCAGGAGTATCTACATATTCCTATTGTCAGTGTCGGTCTGGATGATTAGCTCTCAACCTTCAATGTGCATATTTTATTGTACATAATAAAACAAAATTATAAGAATTAAGTTAATCTAAACTTTTAATTCAAAAGCAAGTATACAACAATGAAGAGCCACGACAACTGTCTGACAACACTCGTGGGCTGTGATATCAAAGTCTTCTTTCCAAGTGTGCCAGAAATGCCAACTCTGCACACATGCACATGTAGTGTGGTAAATGCTATATGGCAGCCAGTCTTCTTGATGACTAGCAGCTAAACGCAATGCCTACCTGAACTTGCCTAACCTCAAGACCAAATATATCTCGGTCATTCCCAACCACCCTTGAACCTCAGGCCACGGAAGACCTACTTGAGAAATCCTTCCCCAATCTCAAGTTGGATTTATATATATCCTCAAAGAACTTTGTTTCTTTCCTTTGCAGACTTTATCTTGGTTGTAATGATTAGTTAATACTTAAGTGATTGAACTAATAGGTGCCTCTCTAAAGCATCTAGGAGGGCAGGCATCTGACCTGGTTTTACTCACTTTTGTTCCTGGTAACTGGCACATGGCAAGGTACTCTATACACATTTTGGATGAATGATGATGTTTCACTTCTTGTCCAACCACTGTCCTGTTCACTTAAGAATTATACCCAACTCCTTGTCAGTCTTGAACCTGCACTTATCCCATTCCTCTTCATTATTCCCCTATCCCATCACAAGGATGAGTCTTGACTTTCTAATCCTTTCCTCCCCATTTGCAAAGTCTTCTTGAAAAGGACAGCTTCTAACCAGCCTGAACTTTCTGACGTTCATGACCTCCAGTTCAAGGTGGTGCCAATGGAAAAAAGGGAACAAAATTAAGGGAAATATGACAGTGCAGCATTGAGGCTGTTTTAAACAGTCTACACAGCTCTGAAAGAACCTGTCAATTTAGTAAAAACAATTTCAACCACTCTGTTTTATCATATAGACAAAAGGAGTGGATTTGTTGATTTTTTTTTTTTTTTTTTTTTTACACTTTAAGATGTTTTGGCCCAGCATAGAAAAAGTCTTGGAAAAGAGTTTATTGTGGTGATCTCAATGGCAAGAAGTAAACTACATGTGTGGTCTTTTAGCAAAGTTATGCGGGGGCTGTTCCTAAATAACAGGGTCCTCCTCCAGTATTCTTCTCCACTGGGGGGTCTTGGTCTGCTCCTCCTTGACTACTTCTCAGTTCCCCTCCAACTCCTGCATCTTCCCCTCCCCCTTCTCTACCACAAAGCTATGTCCCTGAGCTCCCTCCCTGGGTAGCCTTCAGAGGCTACTATAAAACCTTCATCCTCCCAGGGTCCTACAAAGGGAAAATTCAAGGCACACCACTCTGGGGTGGAGAGGGGAAAGGCAATGGGAAGGTATATTAGTGGCAAAGTGCTGCTTTGAGGAATAGGCACCCTTGTGGGGTTAAATTCTGGAGCATTTCAGGAATGATTCCTTATTAATTCCCCTCAGTACTGAAATCTGCTTCAACTGCACTTGGAAAGTCCAGTGTAAGGGAAAGAACAGGTGGGTACCGAACTTGTCATGGAGTTCTCCTCAACGTGCCTTTCTTCAAATTGCTGGAAGGATGAAGGCAACTAAGTGAGCTGTCTTGTCATTAGCAGACTCCCTACCCTGAAGACTACCTCTCTGAAAGACACTGGAGAGTGCAGAGGTGTTCTAAGGAGGAATACTGGGGATTGAAGAATGTGGGCAGTGGCAGTGACATATTTTCTTCATTAGGCAGGAGGTGAATAAAGAATCAGAAGGAAGGGACAGAAGGAACAGAGCAGGACAGCATATGGGTAAAGAAGGGAGGCATACATACAGGCCAATCCATGCTAGTACAGGTATTGTCCCTAGATGGTGAATCCTGAATTATTTGATTTTAAATACGTACATATATTGCAACTGAAAACTACAATCTCAGAGTAATAATAAAAGACTGCATCAATCTGGTATTTTCTTTTTTTCCTCCTCCTCAATGAATATGGACTGACACCTTAACTTGGTGCCACTGAGGCAAGGTCTCCTAGGCATCTGGCGGCTTGGACCAGGATTCCTGCGAAAGAACTCATGGCCCAGGCAGATGGGTGCGGATGCTGTGGCCCTCCCTTCCCTACACACATATGAACTCCAGAAAGCAACTTATCCCCTCGTTAACACACGGAAAGTTTTAAGGCAGAGGCACGACACAAAACTAAGAGCTGCGCCTTAGTGCACACTCCCATTCATTTGCGAAGACAACCCCACAGCCCTTCTGGGGGGTCACTAAAGAGTCCCGCACAGGAAACCTTGCTCCTGTAACCTGACCCTGGTTTCCCCCCACACCCAGCACCCAATGCCCCCAGGTCCAAGATGCTTGGATGGGCGACTCTTGTTTAGTCTCTCAGCCTCGTAGCCCCCAGACTCCGTCAGAGTCCCTCCCTTACTGGGGGTGCTTTCCGTCACTCAGCCCTCCTTGCGTCCCCGGGTCCTACCTGGCGCCGCTGCTGGGGCTCCTTCGCACAGGGGCAGCTCTGGTCTCTCGGCTACAGGTCTCCACGAGGATCAGCTCAGGGTGGCGCGAAGGTTCTGGTCCCCAAGCCAAGGTCGCAGTCTTGGAGGGGCGCGCCACGACCTGGAACTCTTGGCGCGCGCTCTCGGGCCGGGCTACAGGAGCCCCCGCAGACCCTCTGGGCGGCCGCAGCGCCGGGGCCTCGGAGCTCCGCCCCTCTCCCGCTCCCGCCCGCCTGCCCCCTCGGGGTCCGGGACTGCCGATCCCTGCTCGCTCCGAGCCCACTCGCCGGCTGCTCTCGATCACCTGCCACCGACAGCCCGGACTCCTTTGCCGGCTCCTTGGCCAAATGGAACTGAGCCGACTTCTCCCGAGCCAGGAGCTGTGTGGACGCTTCCCTCCCCCTAGGCCACCTGTCGGGTCTGGTCCCCAAGGGACCGCGGGCCTGGTACTCAAGTCCTCTTCTGTGTCTTCAGTGCCGCGCGGGGGGGTTCCTGGCCCTCAGATAGCAGATACCGCCCCTGTGAGGGAGAAAGCTTAAGATTTGGGGGGCTTGCAACGCCACCAAGGTCCTACATGCCAAGGGTGGGATACATTTTTTTTTTCCTGATAAAAGGTCAGACAGTCACAATATAATACATTTAAATCCCGTGCCCGAACTCATACTCATTCTGCAAGACACAGGTCCAGGGTTGCCTGGGCCAGCTGCTCACCAACAGCTTCTGCGCAAATGGATGCGCACCCCTGGATGCCTGGCCTGGCCGCTGCGCCCCTTGAGAGGTTCCCCTCCCCACTACTCTACCCAACAGTGTGCTCCTGGAAAACCCGCACCGGCCTAGCTCATCCCTGTCTCCATCACCTGGCACCGGGCCTGCCACCCATCACAACACTGAAATATTTTCTAAATAAGTAGAAAATTAATTTCTTTGGTAGAAAACCAGTCTTTGTTATTTCCCCTCGAAGCTAATCTCCATCCCCTTTAATGTAAGCAGTAATTCCACCGTTGGAGAGCAAAGTAACAGGTGCAAATGCCTGTGGCAGGATCATTTATGACTGAAAATAATATTAAAGGCCACAAAAAGCAAAGAGAACAAACTGTCACCAGTAAGAAATTGGTTAAATAAATGGCAGCGTGACTTACTAGGATATTATACAATCATTAAAACAGTAAACATCAAGGCAGAAGTGTCTCAGATCCTTTTTAGAATAAGGAGGTAGCATTTATTTATTTCTTCAGCAAAAAAAGCTGGGAGGGGAACAAGAAATAACATTATAAAAGTGTTTACAAAATAATAGTAAGAAAAAAGTAGAAAACTGAATCATTACCATGCTTTAAGTTAAAATACTCATTCCTTCTCTGTAAAATGAAGATAAATACCTATCTTAAGAGGTTCTTGGTATATTGAACGAGATATTTTTTAAAAGTACCTGATATATGGTGGATACTCAGCAAGAAATTCCCATTTCCTTCAGAAACATCTTCATTGTTGCCCAGTTCTGCCCATTTGGCTTATTTTCCCTCAAATGCTGGGTAGGAGAAGGAGCTGAGAAAATGTTCAAACCCTGGAGTAATGTGAAGGGAGGAATCTAGCTAATAAGAGTAAATGCAAGTCCTCCCTGGGCTCCCCTCACACAACACATGTTTGCAATGGGGTATTTGGTTCAGTGGCAGCAAGGATCAAAAAGCTTGGAGATTTAGTTGGCTACAAGCATAACCTTGTCAGTGCCCAAGGGCTGAATTAATTCAACTCCAAACCCTAAAGATCCCACATCTAGGCTGAAAAATAATACTCTTTTTAACAGTCAGTTTACACCTAGGTATAATATTCAAATCTGGGCACTGTCTTTTAAAAGAGTGTCACTCTGAAGAGATTTGTTACTTCTATTTTAAAATGAAGAAATGAAAGCACACAGAGTTTACAGTGTCAAGGGCCATGCAGCTAGGAGTCACAGAGCCAAGGGTGCAATTGCAGCCAGCACATGTCCAGGGGCCTGGTCACTTTGCCAGCATGTTCCAGTGTGTACATCTTCCACAGGAGATGGTTTTGAGTGGCACACAGACAATTACATTTAGTAACAATGGATTGCAAGATGAAAAAAAGTTGTGTCCTTTCCAATTCTCTTGTTCTTTTGGCTTGTACTGAGGAAGAAGTATAATTTTTGTGGTATTTATTTTTACATCTCTATAACTTTTGCTGATTTCCTTTCTTGTTTGCTTTTTATGGTGCTGAGGATAGAGCCCAGGGCCTCACACAAGCTGGACAAGCACTCTACCCTTGAGCTACACCCCAGTCTTTAATCTCTTATTTCAACAGAGCTTGCTTCTCTTTCGGGGCCTTTGCTAGGCAACAATTCTTAAGTAGAATTTAATGTCATCATTTTCTCTTCCATCTCCTCTTCCCTATGCTGTTAATTTCTAGATATAGGTTTTCCATTTAAAAGGCAATGGAGCTTCCATTTAATGCATATGTACTTAGTAGGGGGAAATGGGTAGTTTAAAGGGAAGATACTAAGGAACTAATAGGACCAGTGATATTTGAAATTTGGAAAATTCTGTTTTACAGTCCCATATGACCAGGTGGTATGGTGAGGAAGTGTCAGTCCAAAATGAAGGTCAAATTTCTAATAATCAGAGCTGTGTGGAAGATGGTGTAGGTCCACAGTGTGTGTGTGTGTGTGTGTGTGTGTGTAGTGGGGGTTAATCATATTCCCTTCACTCAAGGGCTTGAAGCAGAGGTTAGAATGCTTGCTGCTCAGAAATAATGCCATGGGAACTCCAGTGTGATAGGCTAGAAGTTTTAAAGTTCCTGCCAACCAGGAGAATCTAATTCTTGACAGCAGAGCTTCCCAATAGCCTGACTTCTGGAAAGACAGATTTTGGAGTAAATTACATTTATCACTTTGAGGACAATTCTTGAAGGTGAGTTCCAAGCAGTCTTTGAACGACAACAGCATCTATATGACAACTGTACAATTCAACAGAGTACAAGAAGATCAAGATATACCCATACACAAACATACCTATGTATTGACTTCACCCCTCAGTTCCTGGCTCATAACTCCTTCCCCAAGATGGGTTATAAAATCCTAATCTTCCCCTGCCTTTGGCTAACCACAAAAAAATTCTCTAACTTCCCCCATTTCATAGGGTCCTGCCCCATCCCCTCTAGGAAGCACCACTGAAAAATCTAAGTAGACAGGCCTTGCTGGGTTTCCCTGCCCATTCTATTAGCAATCACTCCTGAGCAAGGAAGTCCATAAGTACCTCCAAAGTGTGGGGTTTAGAAGGCTTCCAGAGAGATGAAGATGTGGAAGTTCCTAGAGGCTGGCATGTCCAGGGAGGCATGGAAGCTCTGCAGCCCTTTCCCCATCCCTCACCCTATGCCTCTCTTTATCAGAAGTCTTTGCCATTTCCTTTATAGTAAACTGGCAAATGTAATTGTTTCCTGAGTTCTGTGAACCCGAGGAGGGGGTTGTGGGTACCCTGATTTATAGTCAGTCAATCAGAAGCACAAGTAAAACAACCAGGGGTGTGCAGTTGGCATGTAAAGTCGGGTGGGGAGGCTCTGGGCATGTTGGAGCATACTGATAATCCTGGCTAATGGGAAGCTGAGGCAGGAGGATCACAAGTTTGAGGCCAGTCTCAGGAACTTAGCAAGACCCCATCAGAAAGAGAGGGAGGGAGGGAAGGGGAATTGGATGAGCATTCTTGGGGGCTGGCTCCTCCATCTGTGGGGCCTGCTGCTATCTCAAAGTAGGTAGTGCCAGAATTTAATTGAGTTAGAGGACACCCAGCTGCTGCCTGCTGCAGAATTGCTTGCTTGCTGGTGGGGAGAAGACCCTTTGGGGAGCGGGGCAGTCAGAGAAATTTTCTGTGTTGAGTGTGAGGACAGAGAAAAAAATAGTCACTGTTTTTCTGTTTTCCTAGAAACACAGACCTGCTGAGAACAGAAAGCCTCCTGGGAGCTTAGTTGGCAGATAAAATAGAGAAAGAAGGCTCTTCAGACAGCCCTGTGGCAGGACTCATGGCTGCCACTGGAGTTAACTGCATGGAGGGAAGCTTCTTCAGGGCAGACAGCTCTTTGGGTTAGAAAGTTCTTTCCTCAGGCATCCCTTTGCCACTCCCCAGCCCCATCACATCGGACCCATCTGCAGACTTCTGGCCTCATTTTCAAAACACATCCAGAGCCAGCCTCTCTCCCACCTCCACCACTGCAGGCCCATCCAAGCCAGCGCCATCTCTGTCTTAGCAAACCTCCCAGCTGCTCTCCTTTTGCCTCCCTACAGGCTCTTCTTCCCTAAGCAACTGGAATAATACATTTCAAACCTAGCTTGCATTCGATCTTTCTCTGCTTAAACCCTATCATGTCTCTTATGGCTTCCATCTCACTCAGAGTAAGATCCCATAAGATCCATGGTCCATTAAGGCCAGCAGCAGGTGGCCCCCACTTTCTCTGATCTCCTCTCCCAAATCTTCCTGGCTGCACATAGTGGTTTCCTGCTGATTTCTGAGCGTGCCCAGTGCATCCTGCCCTGGAGTCCTTGCCTTGCCTCATCTCACAGTCAGCAACCCTCTTCCCCCTCACTTCTTCACTCAAGTGTCGCGTCTCCAGAGAGGCATCCCTCTGGGATTCCTGTCCTCTAGTGACGTAGCTTTTCTTTCACCCAATTCTATCAAAATTTCCTTCCCCTGGTTTGCTAGTTTTGTTGTTTTTGTTTTAAGGGTGTTGTAAATTTTACTGATGGTTTGAGACCAATAAATTTGGGCTGTGGATGGGGTCACAGAGCGGTTAGGGAAAATCACAGCACAGCAAACAACTTAGAAGTGAATTATTAGACATTCTCTTTTTAAAACACACAGGGAACTCAGCTACTGTGAGCTTATCGTTGGCTGCCTTTCCTCTGGGTTCCTAGTCTCCTGTCATTACTTCAGGGTTTTCCTGCCCTCTCACAGGTACCCCCTAACTGCTCTCAGATTTCGATAAGTAACTCACATAGGTGCCTATTTTTTTTTTGTTTTGTTTTAATTAATCAATTTTATTGAAATCAACATACATTTAGAAATCTTGAACAATACTATGGAAACCCTCTTTATATTCTTTTTCATTCTGTAAGACCCCCAGAGAGTAACCATTATCCTAACTCACAACAACACAAATTATTTATGTTAAAGAAATTATTTATTAAATACTATTTTGGTGTCTAGCTTCTTTGACTCAACAATGTTTATGAGATCCAACTACATCATACGGTAGATTTCCCTTTTCTATGTTGTATAATATTCTATTACATGACAATATCACAATCTATTGATCCATTTTAATATTGATAGACATTCATGTTGCTTTTGGTTTTGAGTCATTGTGAATAATTTTCTGTATAATAATCTTGTTATGTTCCTTGGTGTATATGT